TTATAATATTTTTAAAATAATTCTTGTTTATTTTATTTTACGTTAATAAATCATAAATAGAAAGAAATGTAGGTAAATAGTACAGTTACAATGCAAAATACGCTAAATAAGCTACATGAAAAATTCATGAAAATTGTAATTTTAACATTGTATATAACCAGACGTTTTACTGCTCGTATTAAAATAAAATAATTATAAGTATTTATATATTTATTCATAGTCTATACATGAAATATTAAATTTTTATATAATATGTAAGAACAGTTTGTATTGGTATAAGTAAATAGGGTCGTTTTACTGCTCGTATTAAAATAAAATAATTATAAGTATTTATATATTTATTCATAGTCTATACATGAAATATTAAATTTTTATATAATATGTAAGAACAGTTTGTATTGGTATAAGTAAATAGGGTCTAATAAATAATTAAGAAACTATGATAATATCATCTAGATTCTAGAATAATACAATTTTAAACTTTTGAAATATTAAATTTTTATATAATATGTAAGAACAGTTTGTATTGGTATAAGTAAATAGGGTCTAATAAATAATTAAGAAACTATGATAATATCATCTAGATTCTAGAATAATACAATTTTAAACTTAAAAATCACATTACCAGTTACCAAGATCCGAGTTTTATAAAAGATGGTGAAATATTTTGCGTATTAAAATTTATTTGTTTAAATTTTAATATTTTTAAAACAAAAATATATGTTTAATTAAAATGTTATTAATAATTATTTTTTAATGAGATTTACTAATTGTTATTTGACAATAATTAAAAGCAGTCCAACTAGAGTCAAAAATGACAATTGAATAGTTGGTGGTAAAAAAGTACAGTATATATAAGTCAATAAATTGTGAAAATAAATTTCAATTAAAACTATTATTTTAATACCAACTTTATTGACTCTAAGGGTGAATTTAATACTAGTAGATAAATTATTTAATTATATATACAATTATTTTGTGAAATAATAGCACGCCCTAATTTAATTAAATTTTTATGTATTTATTTACTAGGCTAATTGTATTTTATTGATTTTAACCACAATTTGTATATAAAGAATGAGCTTTTATAGAATACGTTTAAATGTACTGTAATTTTGTAACAAAATGAGTAAATTATTAAAGAAACTAAATATTTTTGATAAAATTCCAAAAAATATTTGTAAAAAATATCAAAGTTATATATTTTCCACAAGTTATATAGATCCAGGTTATTTTGAATGAAAAATCTCCCTCAATATATGAAATGTATTTAATCGCGAGGCGCCGAAACTTTGAATGTTTTGCCACATATTACTCGATAATAATTGCAAATTAAGTAAACATTTAAATAATTTTTTAAGTTTTTGTTGCGATTCTGTATCCGATTTATATCTCATATATAAATATCGTTGCAATAGATGTACGTATAGTTGCTGTTGGTTTCTAGCATTATGTAAGTTTAAAATAATTCAAATCATTTCATAATTTTATAATTCTAGCAATTGAATTTTACCTAACTATTACACCATGTTTTAATCCTGGACGGTTTGAGTTGAACAGAATAATTGCAGTTAACTGTTTGAAATACAAATAAAATATGAATTAGATGATTTGAAAATTACATTAAAAATTATTATTACTAAAGTCTTAAATATAATTACAACTTGTATATAAATTAATACCAAATCTAGTATCACATAATCAGAGTCCCATTCGGGGCAAACGCTATTGTAAAATATGGTAAATAATTGGTAAACGTTTCGGTCATAATTTGTCATATGCTCCATGTCTAGTTTAACTGTTATAAAGTTATCATAGTCCTAGAATTAAAAACATAAATAAAATAGATTTTTGAATTGAATTTAGTAATATGCATAAGCTCTGCTCACTTACACTTACTTAGTTAGCAGAACTTATTTTTAATGAGGGGTTAAATAATAAGGATATTAAACAAAATATTTATATAGTAAAGGTTTGATCATTCCTAAGGTGACTACACTTGCGCTAACGAGTAAGTATGCAAATCTCACCAGGTAAACAGTCCATTGCCTTTGAACATGATCAAACATGGTAAGGGAGCGCAAAAAGAATACTTCCAAACAACCGTATTTAACGAGTGTAATCCTATCGTCTTCGCATAGTCTACTAAACCCAGTTAATTGACGACTCATTTTGACCAATCGCTTTATTTGCAGTTCCATCCGGGTGTAAATAACAATGTGCATGTGTTCAAACTCTATTGATTTACCATCGTTATATAGCACTAGGGGTTCGATAAATATATTTGTAGCTCCTAATAATTCTTGAATTCTTTGGCCCTCTAACTCGTTAAGATTATTTGCGTAGTCAGTAATTGGTCGGTCAATTATACTTAGGCTTGTGTGAGCATCGTGTTCAATTTGTTCATCATGTTCAAGTTGTTGGTCATGTTGTTTACTATGTGATTGATTATTTAATTCTCTCTCACCGCCGGTATTATCACTAGTGTTTGTTTCTGAAGAGATGCCTAATATAAGTGAGTCTTCACCGCCATTACTATTTGGTGTATTATTATTACAATCGTTGAATTTATTCTGTTTTGCCATTTGTAATCTTAATTCTTTTATTTTATAATTTCCATCCTTTACTCAAAATTAAATTTTAAAAAATTAAACATTTATATTATAACAAAATTGTTTTTATTAATTTTTACTTACAATTTTCATTCCCATTGCATAACATTTATCTAATCGACATTTGATGCAACATTTGCGGGTGAAAATGTTCATTTTGCATTTATTATTAAACCGACATTTATAATTCTATAATATTTTTGATATATAATAATAGTGCATATAAGATATAATTTGTATTTAATTTACTCAATTATAAACTATCTTACCTTGTTATTGACTGTTGTACGACGAAAAAATGCTTTGCACGAATTACACGTTAATGTATTAAAATTTTGACCTAAAATTGTTAGATGATAAATTGCATCAAAAATTCAAAAATATTAAATATAACATACAACGAGCATGATCGCCACAAACCATGCAAATTTTGTGCATAATATCACCCATTTTTTACATTAAACTAATTGTATTTTAAGTTCTATACTTTTCAAACAAAATATTTATTATGAAACTTTATTTGAGTACATTTAGTGTACATCACGTACTGTTTGCTTAGATTCTCGCGTTATAAACTTTATATTTTTGATAACGGTGTTTTTAAATACAAGTTAGCGATGCATTATGATAAAGTCCAGTACTTTAATATATGCGGCCAAAGTACAAATTAATAAAATGATTAATTTAAAACTACAAATAAATAAAATAAATTCTAATATTTACACAATGTAAAAATTAATTTAACTAGTCTATGAAAAGCACCAATGTACTTTTTGGCCTTGGCAAGTACTTTGTTATCATGATGAGGGCATTTAGCCTGTTTTTACAAACAATAAATAATTTAAATATTTAAAATTGAGTAAATTACATCTTATTTGTATATATTTTATTTATGTTTGTTCATTAATTTTATGTTTATTTAAATTATTAATAAAAATATATTAAGTTTAAAGAAATTACAGTTAATTTAACATTTAGTTAAATGCGCATGCTCATACTGAGCTCGATTTGATTATGTGCATTTGATGTGCATGAGCTGAATAGCATGTTTTCATAGATAGCAACAAGTGTAAACAATAATTTTGCAACTTTATTATCAAGGCTCATCTGGTAATTATTAATCAAATACTTTTTGTAAACAATTATTTTTTAACCAATAGTTTCGATAATGATTTATAAATTATAATAAATCCATTACTGATATTAACTCGAAATAAACTATAATTATATAATTAATATTATTATTGTACATTTATTGTTAAAACTTACAGTTATTTAATTATTTATTTAAATTCTATAAAAGTGTGCATTTAAATAATACAACATTATAATGTTTAACAAATATTAAATTTTAATAATACGAGTTTTCTAAAGAAAATTATATGATTATGTTTAACTAAACATAATTTTATACAGTATGCTATACATAATTATTTTATATTAATATAACTTATATTATTTATTGATTATAAATAATATAATCAAATAATTAGAGTAATTTTACATCACGAAATTTAGAAAAACAATAATTGTCAATAAAATACTGTATATGACATTTGATTAGCATTAAAACATTGCTGAAACATGTCGGTCACATTTAATTATACCGGCAAAGTGGTGTTGGTCACGGGCTCGAGCTCTGGTATAGGCGCCGCCACAGCCGTATTGTTTGCCAAAAACGGGGCCCGAGTTGTGGTGACGGGTCTGAAGGGCAGCGATGTGTCGAATGTAGCCCAAGAGTGCCGTCAAGTGTCGCCCACCGGCCAAACACCGTTGGAAGTGGTGACAGACTTTCGTAATGAGTCTGATATGAAACTATTAGTTGAACAAACTATTGACAAATTTGGACAATTGGACATTTTGGTCAATAATGCCGGTGTTTATCCCCGGTTTAATATAATGGACCCTGATTATGTGGCCAAACAACGGCAGGTGCTCGATGTTAATCTCATCTCTGTAACCTGTTTAACTCATTTATGCGCTAAATATTTGGCCCAAACCAAGGGCTGTATTGTCAACATATCCAGTTGTATGGGTATTAACACAGTTAGTTAATTTTGTTTGATTAACATGCTTAGTGAGATTTAATTTCAACATCATAGTGCAATTATTAAATGTCTATAATGTTTAGGGCACAGATCTATCAGCCTATTGTACATCAAAATCTGCAATTAACATGTTTACCCGGTGTATGGCCGTTGAGTTGGGCACCATGGGCATTCGTGTTAACGCAATATGGTAAGGGATATAATATCTGCATTAATTGTAAACTTATTAACATTTGATCTAATATTGCAGTCCCGGTATAATACGGACACAACCGGTGGGTTCGGGTCCCGAAGAGATGGAGGCGCGTATGGATGCAATGGGCGCCCAATACCCGGTTGGCCGATGCGGTTTGCCTATTGATATTGCTAATACTGTTGCCTATTTAGCCAGTGATTGTGCCACATTTATTACCGGTGCTATAATTCCAGTTGACGGTGGTGAACTGGCTGCTAACTGCAAATTTTAAGGTTCCATTATATATTACTATCTTATCATGTTAATTATCAGTAGGTTATTAATACATTTATAACATGTGTATAACATTTATGCAAACAAATATGTATTATTTATAGAAATTAATTATTGATCTGATTTTATTCTGTTTTGTTGTATATATTGAAATAGTTAAAATATTAAGTTATTTTTGCAATTTAGATGTTATTTTTATTAAATTCTAATTGTTATTATTTACAAATATTTATATTGTGCAAAAATAGACTATTTAATATAACTTTTGTTTTAGTAAATGTAATATAATTAATTAAAATTTACAATAAATTTATTATTATCCTCGTAAACAACTTTATCCAAGGATATAGCAATTTAGATATTCATGGTATGATTATTATTATCACATGATATTTTTTTGTAGTAAATAAGTTTATTTATAAATGTATATAAAACTAATTACTCTCAATAAAAATAAATTAAATTCAAAATTTTATAATTATTATTATGAACATTTTAATAATCATTTTAGCATGTTTGCTATATGAACTACCTTTGATTTCAGGGTGCCGATGCCGGAACATCCCGGTGGGACTATCGTACAACATATCGGACTATGTAATACAGGCTATGGTAACTGACCGTGTTTTGGTAGGAAGTGATAATGATACAATTGACCAGCACGTGCTTAATAGACAATTTGTACGCTATGAAGTGGCCATACATAAAGTGTTTAAGGGAACTACCGGTTCAGTCAATTCAACCATATACTGGCCATACGTATACACGAGTCGTTCAAGTGGTTCATGTGGTATATCTCTAATGATTGGTGCCGTGTATATAATTAGTGGTAGTTTTACAAATGATAAATTATGGACACATTTATGTGCTTATGTGCGACAGATTGAATACCTTAATGCAATGGAAATTGAGTTTTTTGATGAGCGTAACATTAATGGATAATCATGTAAATGATTGATTAATTATTTTTAGTGTGAAGTTTACATAGTTTAGTTGAATTGATGTTACAATTCAAATTATAGAAATACTTGTAATACACGCGGAAAATACATAACAAGGGAAAGGAGGGAGAGAGAGAGAGAGAGAGAGAGAGAGAGAGAGAGAGATTAATAATAAAAAACCTAACTGATTATTATGATTTATAAATTACAAATATAAATATTAAAATGTACAAATATTTATTATTTTTATAACAATAGATTTTAAAATCTAATAATTTTTAATTAAATAATAAAAGTTAAAATATAATTTGTTATTTAAATATTATACAGTATATAATTAATTAAATAAATAAATAAAATTAAATTTAATAAATAAATTTTGAAATATCTCTGGTTAATCATTATAATATTTTTATAACAAAAATTCTATTATATTTTACCAATTTTTAAAAAAATTATTGTAATATTAAATTTGTAAAAATAAATTTAAAGTATATGAATCATTAATTAACAGATGTTTGGTAACAATTATTTTTATTAGCATCCTGGTCTAATGGTATTTTGGTCTTTTATAATAATAATTATTGATTTATCATTAATCATATTCTCATTTTATTCAGCTGCATTTTCTAAGTAAGTTAATTTATTTATTAAATATAATTTTATTTATTTATTTAATTCAATTATATACTGTATAATATTTAAATAACAATTGTGAAAATTAATATTTTAACCACCAATATGGTTTATTTAATTTTTGTGTTAATGATATCATTATGCTTTTGTATTGTGACTCAACATTCGCTGCCAATACTCGGGGGTGTAGATAATGATGGTGTGAATATACCACGTGGTCATTATGGATATCCACAGGATCAACCCGAAACTCTAAAGCCAACATTGAATGAAACAAGTTGCAACCTGATTGAGCATTTATATTATCTCGATGGCAACTTTAAACATTTTGTCAACAATCATTATGTACAATTATCTGATATATGTTGTCAACTCAACACGTTATTTGATGGACTTTATAATAGTAATCTAGATGTTAGTGAAATGATCATGCAAAATATGTTAGTATTAGTAAATGACATGAAGCAGTTATTTTTTGAGTTAAGCGATTTAGTTTATAATAAACCCGACGAATGCGATACTATGTTAGTTGAGAATTTAGATTCTGCAGAATTGTCACTAGATAAGTTTATAAACAAAACAAGTCATGATGTATTAATGTTTAGTATTCATAAAAAATCACCATATGATTACCATGGTCAATTGTATGACAACTTAAATTTAATTACAAATTTAAAATTATTATCTCAACCATTTGTTGATGTGTTGACATGTATTGAATTGGATGATCTTAATGAGTTATTTTTAAATTTAATAAGATATATGACAATAGAAATGAGCATGGTTTTAGATCATAGAATAAACAAAATTAAAACGGCTAAACTTGATCAAATTACACAATGTGATCTACGATTACTACTCCGATTCAAATACTCACTAGATAAACTAATAATTGACCAAGTGGCTATTTTTCGCAACAGAGGTAATACACATGATACATTTTCTAAACAAGTTTTATCGTAATGATTTTATTGTCATAGTGCCGACTATATCACAGAATGACAAATCAAGTGACAGTGGAAGTAGTGGTGCATTTACGATACCAGCAACTCAGACACCAACAACCGTGTTATTTAAGAATCAAATTGATCATGATACAATTGAAGACTCTGTTAGCATAAATTAAACTTAGAGTTCATTTCTTTTAATAATTCTGGAATAAAAATGTACTGGTAATATGTACTTTAAAAACTGAAAATGGCAATCTTATTTTTATTAACTATACTAGATTGAATTAAATTAAATTGAGATAAAATACTATTACAAATTATTAAATTTGCATGATCTTGTAGATTTAATTAATTAATAGACAGTATAATGTAATTGAAAGGAAATTTTTTTAAAATGAATTATTGCAATAAAATCCATGGATTTTTATACAATATTATTATTGCAATTCGTAAAAAATTACATTTTTAATCCATAATTATTTACAAATTAAGTTTATAAATTAAATTATTTAAAAAATGATTATTTAATTACACTTTAATGAATTAATTTATAGAATTAATGAAATAGATTTTAACAAACTGTAACTGTAATATATAGTTATTATATTGTTTATTTTAATAGTAAATGATATTTCAATTTATTGGGTTACAAGTCGGCAGGATACGTCTTCGCGACATTCCAAAAATATTATTTTAAGCGCTTGAATATATAATTCTGTTTTTTAAATTAAAGTATAATTTAAACTAGAAATAAAGAAATTACTGCAAAATAGATATTGCAAATTAGATTACAAATAAACATTTCTAATGAAATATGCGAACCATATTATTGATGGTACATTAATGCAATTTTAGTATAATGTTTTGGTGATTCACAAAATGAAATTATTTGTTTAAATTGACACAAATTTATTTTTACATTAACACCAAGTTATACCAAACATTGTTATTTATTATTTCTGAAGTATTCTACTATATTAATTAATTTTGTATTTCAATTAACAAAACTTCTATTGGAAAACTACATGGTATTTTATTTTAATTCCAAGTATATTTAAAGACACATATTGTTTATAAATATGTTATTGAAAATACTTTATAAATATTACAATTGTTATGCGAAATAATATTCCGTCGATTCATATGAAAAAACAATTGCATTTATTTTTCCAATTATTGTCTAATAAATCAAATTATTTTGACAAATGTTTTACAATTATTTTGACTAAACAATCATGTTTTAGATAATTAACAATGGGTTTGTGACAAAGTATATAAACAGGCAGATATTGATATAAAATAACCAAAAAAATAAATTAAAATAATTACGTTAAAAATAATTATAATAAACTAAAAAATTTAATTATCTTCTTATAATGAAATATACAATTTTTATTATATCAGTTGCATTGGTATTGGCGGCCAATATTACCGATTGTGAGTATTTCTAAGTCAAAATTAGTTAAAATCTATCACTTTATTTAAAAATTATTGGTCTAACATGTTGAATTATAAATATGTTTACATGGTAATAAGTTATTACTAATAACAAATTATGCTTAGGTCTGTTTCAGGGGCCATCATTTGGTTTATTTGGTCCAAACAGTCGCTTCCAGCTCCCAATCCACGGTCGAGAGCCCTGTAGTCGTCAGGAAATAGCGAAAAGTGTGGGACGACTGGAGCTGTTTGTGGACCGATATCTGGACCGCGCGATCGCATGCGAAAGCCGTCGCAACGCCAGTGACGTACAGGCGCTCAAAGACATCCGTACTACCGATGTGCCCAACTTTTTTGCCACAATCCGTCTAAAGCTAAACGCAACCGCACCCGCAGTTCCCGTTATAATCCCTACGAACACCACTATTATAACTGGCGGAGAAAATATTAATGCCACTCTTGCTTAAATTAAGTTTAACTGTTTTGTAAGATTCTACTTGGTGTGGCTGAATAGCATTTTAAAATTATAATGTATTGGAAAATATCCATTTTATTATAAATAAAATTTTTATTTGCTTTAAAAATGTCATAATATTTTCTATCTTTAATGAATGTTTCAATTTATTAATACTTGAGAATTTAACTAAACATTTATAATAAATAGAAAATATGTAAAATAAAATACGTTAATAACTGTATTATTTACTTAAGTATTCAAATTGTTGTTGTCAAATATTTAATACAATTAATATAATATGTTTTCTGTTTATTTAGAAATATTTATAACTTATTTTTATTGAGAGAGAAATGCCTTTTAGAATAAAATATACAAATAATTAATAAAGATTCATGTATTGATTTATTTCTACTAACCGTACATCATAAAAGACATTGTATTCAATCCAACAAAATAATAAAAT